TGTCTATTATTGGTAGGAAATCTATACACAGTGCATTAGGGAACCCCCAAAGTTCCATATTCTGAATTCCTTTACAGCCAAATTTGTGTATGATCAAACAACAGCGATTAAGAACGGCTCCGGAAACAATGTTCTAGACGGTTTAATAAGAGGTTATTGATGACTGTAGAAAATAGCATGCCTTCTTAGCAATTTAACTGAAATTTTTGTTTCGCGCGTTCTAAATATTCAAAAAAATTGCAGCACAAATTTTGTACCAGCAAACATAAGAGGTTAAAGAGAGCTCCTGAAGCAATTTAGTGTGCAGGTAAACAGAGGTTAAGGATGTCTATATATCTCTGTTGCTTTTGGTGAATTTCATATATTGTAGAAAGATTGATGTTTTGGAATTGTGTTTGTTTTCTTACATATATTGTTGAATTGTTTTGGTTCCAGTTATATGATTCCCCAGTGCCTCATATACTACAAACTCTCAGACTGACCAAGAAACTCAATTTTCCGAATTAGGAAAAATATATATTTTTTCCTTCTCTTTATTGTGATAATAAGCTACCTGAGGTTCTATGTTTTTTCATTTCCGTTCTATACTTATTATGGATTGGACAATATTACAAATAATTAAAGTATTTGCACTTATGTTTCCCGAAATTGAAAATTGATACTGATGAATTCTCTTTAAACTACACTTTTGCAGAACTTGGTCATTTTTCGTTATTCTCGGACGAAGATGAATGACAAAGAGAGAAACACGATAAGAAGAACCTTAACTTGCATAATTGATAGGAGGTACTCACTATTTCAATTGAATTTATATTACAACACTTAATGTTTAATGTTATGGAGTTCATTTATTTTATAGGTTTGTGGTTATTTTTCAGACAAAAATTGTGACGAGAAGATGTTTAATCTGTCGATTAATACACAAATTAGCTGATTGAATGAAGAATGGACTAACATCCTCATCCATCAGAAGATTGATAGTTACTCTTCCAATATGCAAGTCTGTATATAATGTGTATAATATTTTTCAAATTTGTATGTAGTACAGTAGCCGTATAATATTTTGCAAGTTTGTATATAATGTGTACCGTGTCTGTATCTGCCTTTTTTTTTCCCTTTTTAAATGTATGTATAACCAGTGTAATGTATCAAAGCAGTTTGTATATAAAATGTTTCATTTTTTCTCCTTGATGATACGACGTCTTATTGTACACACGTTTTTTTATTTGGTGCCTCTACATTAGTTAAATTTAATGTCAGCAAAAGGTTTAACTGAAATTTTGACAGATTTTGGTTCGAATGAGTACACTATTCTCACCATGGTTACATGAACGTACACAAGTTCGTCTTTTATTTTCTTTTGAGCAATAATTTTTTACATCATTTGACACGAAATAATATTATTAAGAAGACGTCTAGAACAATTTGTGTGTAAAATATTTCAATATCACTACAAAATAAAAGAAAATACACTTGAAAATAAGGTGGAAAGTAGAAACATATTTATTTGAAGACAAATATTTGTAAAATCAATAATTTAATATTTTTGCAGAATTCCAAATACGAATTTCTAGATAAATATAGTTCAAGTATTTATTTGTGCGAAAGCGAAAATGCCTATAGATTGAAAGAATGTACATTAAAATAATAATGCAAACATGTAATTTTTTAAACCGAAATTTTGTATTTTCTTTATTTTTGCAGAATTTAAAAAATGCATTTCTATATAAACGACTGAGAGCTTAGACAAATAAATCTGTCGTACATCTAATTATAACATCTATATTTTAGTATAAATTGTATTATGGATGCTTCAATTTGTTCATATATTTTCTAAACAAATAAAATCATCAACGTCATAAATTCATTTTTTTCCATGTTCATAAATGTTGGTTTTTACATGTATTAATTAATTTATGTTTTTCTTAAACAAATTCATGCATTTTTAGAGCAATGCATTTCAATTATAATTTTTTTTTTTTTGTTTTGAAATGCTATCCCGTGCAACGCACGGGAATGGTTACTAGTAATGTATAATGTATAATGTATAATGTATAATGAATGAATGAATAATGAAAAAAACAATATAATATGATAGAAGAATTTCGTTGGAACATGGTTAGCACGTCTTACTGTCTATTCCATCCCTCCTGTATTTCTGTGGTTTCTGCATATATATATATATATATATATATATATATATATATATATATATATATATATATATATATATATACACACATATATATATATATATATATATATATATATATATATATATATCTATATATATATATATATATATATATATATATATATATATATATATATATATATATATATAAAAAAACATAATTAAAGAATCATACTTATTTATACATTTTCACTTATTCTTACGCCTCCACTTATATATTTTTAAATATATAATAAATTTATTTTTATATATATATATATTTTTATATGTTTTTTTTTGTATATATGTCTAAAAAAAAAAATGAACGCTAACCCCGACCTCCCATAAACTTTAACCCCACTATATCATATCTAGCTTTGCCACTCGCTATGTACCTTACAAAACCGAGTTAACATAGAATTTATCAACTTTAAAAAAAAAAATGAGTTTTATTGTAGATTGTAGAAGGACCCCATTTATTAGTCATCTCCAAATCTCGCCTAGGGCCCCCAAAATCTGAGGAACGGCCCTGTATATATATCAAATTTGGGTTATCTACTTTCCAATAAATTATTATTATATTATTATTATTATTTTTGTGCGGATGAAAATAAAAATAAATGGAAATAAAAAAGATGAGCTGTGCAAAATTTTGAGGGAAAGGCCAATACGACGCCGTTTTGTCATTTAAACTGCAAAGGAAAAGAAAAAAAACTAAGAATTAAGGATTGGCACTTATACATGTACTTACGCGGTGTTTGCAAAAACTTTTAGAAACAGTTTCATAACTTTTTTTTTTCCTCATATAAAATTGAATTTTTATTTTTGCTTCTCTTGAAATAAACAGATTTAGCAAATTTAAAACTAATTAACTCACATAAATTTTTGTTTTTGAATAAACTTTTGCAAACATCATCTTAATTCGTAGGGTTGGAAGTTCTCTAGTACGGTACTATGGGAAATTTCCAGGCCAACTTTTATCAAATTTGTAACCACTTAAATTAGCCCAATAATATTCAGGACAATTTATTTAAATTTTTTGACTATATTATTTTGTTATAAAATCTCGTCACTAATCATCAAGAAAATGAGTGTATCGGATTTGGATCAAAATATGGGTGCAAGTTGAAAACCCTAACTGAATTATAAAGTTAAAAATTCTAATTAAAATTTCAAACCTCAACAATCCTACATGTAATAACTAATAAGTTTAAATGTAAGAGTGAATTATGGTAGTAATTTTTTTTTAAATGAGATAGTTGAAGAGATGTTTAATGGGTGCAACCTGACTATAATTAGGTTGAAGCTGATAAATTATTCTTGCACATTGCACCAATTTACCACCTCCGGAACCAGTTGAGCTACACCCAATAATAATAATAATAATAATAATAATAATAATAATAATAATAATAATAATAATAATAATAATATAATAGTATATAAATATTTCATTAATTTGAAGATTTGTGGTAACATTGAGCACCAAGGTGGCAAGTTAGTACTAAAAACAACATTCTTTAAGACTAAATGTTTCCAATTTCCCATAGGGGATTAAAAAATGCTTAATTTCCAACTTAAACAAAAAAAAGAGAAACTCCAACCATAAACATAAAAAAATAAAAAATTATAAATTATAAATAAAAAAAATAATACTATAGCTCCTGCCTCCTTCTATATGTGATCTAGTTCTTTAACCATCTATGTAAGAATAGAATGAATATATATATATAAATGTATATATATATATATATATATATGTGTGTGTGTGTGTGTGTATTATATATTATGCTCTTTTGATTTGTATAATGTGTTTCTCATGACTTTCTGTACATACACATGTATAGAGCTTCATCAATTTGTCCGATCTGGCGCATCTCGTTTTTCGAACGGATCGATCCAACATTTGTCGTCCTTAACCGCTTTGCTCCATCTACTCTTAAAAACCCTCATTTCTTCGTACGATCTTTGCCGTATCTGCATACACACACATATATACATACAACACTTATATATACAAGATATATACATGCATGCAAGTGTATACATATTTGTAGGGAAAAACTTACCGCGTATCTCTTACTAGAACTAGTCGACGAGTTCTTTGCATTTGAAGATTGAGTATTATCTGTCTGCAGTTAATATAAAGTATACCATAAATGAATAATCGAAAATCGTAATTTTTTTTTTGACTTATTTAATCGGTTAGTAATAATGTATGTATAATTTACCTTATTTTTCTCGGAAGCGCCACCGAGTGTAGGAAGACCGAGATGAACAATGTACTCGTGATCTACAACGCCGACTTTAAGAGTTCTATCGCCCTATAAATTAACACGATTATAGTTTAGTTCCACCTTATAATTGAATTAAATAACGACTAAAAAAAATATATTCGATTCAAAATTGAGTTATGGAATAATCGAAAACTCGCCTGTGCACAATATCCGAGCTGCATATCCAGGCCCCACGCGTGAATCAAGTCGTTCTGTAAAAGTCCATTGTTCGTTTTCAAACATTAAAATTTCCACAAAAAAAAAAAAATAAAAAAATAAAAAACATAAATATAATTCAAGATATTATTTAACCTAATCTTGATAACGATTCGAATTAAATCAATTTTTGAATATGATTGTAATGTGTAGAGTGTACCTGAATCATATACCACGCGCAACGCCACGCCGCTCTCGAAAAAACGGGAGCCATCATTTCCACCCAACTGCACCACATTTTTTAATTTAATATCAATTAGAAAATTAAATACTACGATAATTTTCCGAGCGCGTAATATATATTACGAAAAAAAAAATTAAAATATTTATGGTTTGGAATATTCTTACCCTACACAGGGAGGAGAAGTACTGTTGTTGTCACACTTTCCAGGCTTATAGTATCTCCTATATTATGGAATAATAAAAATATAAAAGCTTAGAAAAAAAAAATATTATTCAATCCTTAAAAATTGGTGCAATATTTTATCGTTGATCACTAAAATATTATCGATCAATTAGTCTGTGTAATGATAATATTTGCACGAAATAAATCTAACAGTTACGTTATAATACGCATTTTTCATGTAACAATTTAATTGAATAAATTAAATTAAATTAAAATATATAATGAATATATTTACTAACCGGTGCACCCTTGATCTCCGACCACGCACGGTAATCTGATGATGTATCTCGGAGCTACTGCGGTCAAGACCAGGCTGTGAAATCTCGAGCCCTTCTTCTTTGATAATCGATAAGTACCTACAAAAAAAATTAAATATATTTTTTCAATAATTGACTAATTTTAAGTTTAATTTGTAACATTTAGAAAAAACTTATTACACATGCATCCAAAGGCTGAACGAAGAAAATCGATTCAAGAAAGTAGTGTCGTCTATAAAATTCTTCCGGAAAAAAAAAAGTCGTTTCGATTGAATTTAATTAGCATGGAAGTATACATATAAATTAAAATAATTAATTTATACCTTTCTGGATGAAAATTATCAACTCCGAGATCTTCGTCCCAGAGGAAAATGTACTCGTATTCAGCAACAATATCTGGATGTAGAAATCGTTTGGCGAACCACCTATATATATATTCATTCGGAAAACGGTTTTCAGACAGTTGAATTCCATTTTTTTACAAAGAATTTTTTTAAAAAATAAAAAATTAAAGAAAGGCGATAAATTTTATTCGTCACCATTTAGTTTGGTTTACGGCAGATACATGAATTACACTGTCACACCATTCGAACTCGTGCCACTCATCCACATGATCGTCGTAGTGAAAAAACATTATCGCGAATTTTTTTCCCATAAACTGCAATAAATCCACCAAATATAAATTGTGTATTTATATTTATATATATATTTAGAGATACCGTATTTATTTATAAGTATACGAAAGTAATTAGACGAATAATTATATAATACCTTCTTAACAATCTCGTTCACCAATTGTTTTTGGTTAATCCCAACTGCTAAGGCCAGCAGACTTGTCGTGTGCTTCGAGTTGTTCTGATTCAGAA